GTACCTACAGTATTAATCTGGAAGGCTGGTTGTCATGGGTAAATACGAAGCAGTTATGTATTTAGGGCTCAGAGACCTAAAGCTTTTGTTTTCCTAAAGCATTCTGCCTTTATTGTTTAGACTGGAAAACTAAACTTGGCCTTCTGGTATAGGAGGATCATGGTCCATTTTTATAGATGTATCATGCAGAAGCATAGTGAATGAATTTAAGGCTGGTTACATAATACTACATAGAAGTAGACTCCTAGAATGTTCAGGATAAAAATTGAAAGACTTTGGTGTGACAGGATGTAGGGCCAGAGAAGGTAATAAAACTGTTTTCTCTTTTATTCTGTGAGCCTTAAGTGGCTAAGGCATGGAAAATGGCACACTTCAAGATTCATCAGAGATAGGTGTTTATGTAGACCACAGAGGAGATAAAAATATGAGGTTGCCAAACAAGGGTTCTGTTAAAGAAGAACTTTCAGATGATTCTAGATTGGGCAGGAAAGGAAATGACATCAGGAACTGTATAAAGGAAAGAAGATGAGGGGGTGGCCAGAAGTCTCCATAACTAACAGCAGGTATGGGAATGCGAAGTGAGCTGGGAGGACCAGCCTTTGGGGTCTGAGAATGGGATTATGTCTTCTGATTTTAGGTGACAAGGCCAAATGATACTTTACTGCTAAGAGGAAGTAAAGTTCAAAAGTTGAAAATAAAGGACAGTTAAATACCTTTTAGACTCACCATATAAGTATCTCTAGCCTAGCATCTACAGTGCAGGGGTCCCCAAAATGCATATTTCTAAGAAGCTAGGTACTTGTTTCTAATGAATGTATATTGGAGCAAAATTTAAGGACTTCTGGGAAGCTGGGCTGTTCATTCTTGAGGACACTTAAAGTAGGTCTGTGGTACTTCAGGAGACAACATGAAGAGGATCCTGTGTGGTGACGTCAGCACAGCTGGTGGCAGACTTCTCAGAACCAGTGTGCTGGAACGACAGGATGTTTACCTCTGACCTGCAGATGGGGGCAGATGGCATTGTGAGACAGTGACAGTGTCTGGACGTGCGGTGAGAATCCTGTGAGCCCACTGAACGTTTTGGCACCATGAAGGCAGTGAGAAACCTGGTAGGAAGAAGTAGAATAGTGTATCCATGTTATCTAAAGCCAGAGCAAAGGGAAGCACATTTCCTAGAAACCCTGGTTAGCCAGTTACTTGAGACATTCTTTGGTTTTGGAACCGATTCTTTGTTCTCTTAACATTTGATGGGGAAAGCTGGCTTGTACACGTGCTCCATTTATCTTTAGCCATTGAAGTTTTAGATAGGTTATCGAGATCGTTCCAACCGTGAGAGGCTTGTGGAACAGAAAGACAGGATCCAGGTCTCTCTTCTGCTAGGTTTACTTTACTGTGCAGTTGCTCATTTCTTCGGTGATCATGTGCATGATTCGAAGTAAGCTTTACATGAGATGATGTGCCCTTGAAGTAGGCATTTAGAAGCACAGGGAGGAATACTATATGAGAAGAACTAGAGGCTGATGGTGTTTGTGGATTCCCGGACAAAAAAGGTAGTTTGAGAGGAAGATGGCATAAAGTATCGATTCCCCAGGGTCCAAGGGGGCTTAGCTATGTCCGGCGTGCGATATCAGGGGGAAAAAAAATCTACGTACACTATGTTCTTATGTCTGTTAACTTTATTCCTCTAAGACAAAATTCTATCAATTCAGCTATAGCTCCACCAGGCATTCAAGGCAGGAACAGCTCTAGACATACCAAGCTCTATATCGGTCTACTCTATTTCTCTGGGATGAAGTCCTGTCTCCATAACTACAGTTCCATCCAGTTCCCCAGCTCATAGTCCTGCTAATGACTAACTCCTATGCTTCCAGCCTTATCTTTGTCCTCTGTATCCTCTTTCTCCATCTCTGCTGCTCTCTACTCCTGGCACTCAGAAAACTCTACTGGAGATCTTTCTCTATGGAACCTCTGTCATCCTTTCTTCTCTCTCGACAAGCTGTTCTGTCTTTGTCTACAGAAAATGCCTGTCCTTTCTTTCCCTGGGCTCGTCGTTCCCTGCCTCCTCAGGAATGTTGTTTTATCTCTCACCTTGGTATGTAAAAACCTCTTTTGTTCTCAGTCAAAATTCTCTGGAGAATCACTAGGGCTCCTCAAGGCCGGGGAATGGTCATTAGCAAAGGAAACAAAGCTATGTGTATCCCGCCAGCTTGTCTCCTAAGCTCAGCAGGGCAGTTAGTAACTTAGTAGGTTCAGCAGGTCTGGGGAGCTGAACTGTTTACCAATTGGTCTGGGCATGCAAGGATTTCATAGCAGAAGATAGCTGGAATATTAAAGGCTGGGTAACACCAAATATTCATAATAAATGGCTTTGCCTTTTGACAGACCCTTGGCTGGTCAAAGTTCAGTTTTAATACACAGCTGAATCTCTATGGTATATTCTTGCGGCCCGCAAGAATAAAGCTTGTCAAATTGGGTGTGTTGGTACATGTAAATAGCAGAACCCTTCAGTTAATGTGCTGTACCGCTTGTGTAGGAAGGCAGTAATGCTGACTCATTCTGTATTAAGGAGAGCCTATTGCCATTTTGACTTGTTCATACAGAACTTGTTTATTTTACTTAAAATATTTATTGTAGTAGAATGTAAGAATTATGACACACACTACTCTTTAACCACTTTTAAATGTACAACTCAATATAGCTAATTTTATTTACAATGTTGTATAGCCATCCTTACTATGTATTTCTAGAAATACTTCATATTCCAGACAGAAAATATGTACTTTTGAGGTAGTGCCTCTCTATACTGTCTTCCTCCTGGTCTTGGTAACACTTAAGTTATCTCTATGAAGTTCCCCATTCATTTAGGACTGTATACAGTCTTTCTTTGTGTCTAGCTTATTTTGTTTTCAGGGTGCATCCATATTGGATGAACTACATTCTTATTTTGTTCTGAATAGTACACTGTTAAATGCCATGTTTCCTTTATCTGCAAAGAGATACTTTGTGTCCACCTTTGACTTAAAATTCTATTATAAGCTTTAGTATATGAATCCCTATGTGAGTCCTGGTATTCTTTTGGTATGTATCTGGCAGTGGGATTGCTAGGGTGTGTTACAATTATCAAATACACACAGGAAAGACACCATCAAAGGTCTTAATTTTCCTGCATCCTCACCCACACGTATTTCCACTCTCTCTAGACACATAGCTGTGAGTCTGATTTACATTCTACTAATGACTACCAGTACTAAGCACCTTCCCATGTGCTCACTGGTCCTTTTCTCCCCCTAAAAAAGTGATGTCTCATGCCTGGTGCTTACTTGTTTTTGTTATTCATTGAGCTATGAGAGTTCTTTAAGTAGTCTGACTAGTAAGCCTTCATTTTCAAAATGGTCTTCTTTTCTATAAGTTGTCTGTTGTTTCCCTTTTTCTGATAAGGTCTAATGTATATATTCCTTTTGTTCCCTATGTTGTTTGTGTTGTGTGTTCCAATGCTTGAAGGGTTTGCCTTCTGTTAACGGCCAAGATTTTGAGGATTTGATTATGACATTTTGGTCATTGGTCCACTTTGAGTTCATTTTCATGTGTTGTGTGAAGTGTGACTTGACTTGGTGGTATGAATTGGTTGTCCCAGCATTTATTGAGGAAATACTCTTTCCCCATTAAACAAGCTTGATACACTTTCCCAAAGATTATTTGGTTATATGTTTATTTCTGCATTTAGTGAAAAGATTCATTTACATATTTTAATGTGTGAGTATATGTGTGTACCTACATAAGTTTATATGTATTACATACATGTAACAGCCTGTAGAGGCCAGAAGAGGGTATCAGATTTTCTGGAACTGGCGTTATAGGTGGTTGTGAGCTGCTATGTGGGTACTGAGATCCCAAACCTGGGTCCTCTGCAAGGGCAGTAAGGTACTCTTATTAACTGCTGAACCATCTCTCCAAGCCCATTTCTGGATTCTTTTAATTTCATTTTATTGGCATGTTTCTCTATGTATAATGCCAGTACCATAGTATCTTAATGTCCAGATTTGTAGTAAGTTGTGACATTTGGAGGTGGCAGTTGTTGAACTTATTTCTTATTTTTCAAGATTTTCTTAGCTAATTCCATGTGAATTTAAGGACTTGCTTTTCTATTTATGCAGAAAGACTGTTAAGATTTTATTATATTGAATCTGTAGATCACTCCAATGAGAATCATTTGTCTTCTCGCATTCTCCAGTTTATGAACACTGTTTCCTTTTTTATTTATTCAGCCCTATTTTATTTACTTCAGGAATATGTTATCATTTTCAAACAAGTCTTGATCGAGTCAATCCAAAACTAACATATTGCTTTAGATATTGTTATAAATGGATATCTTTCTTTGATTTCCATATTGTCGATTGTTGTTATATAGGAACACAATACTGGAGTTTTGTTTTATTTTTGGTTGGTGTGTGTGTGTGTAACTTATAATCTACAACTTTGCTGGACTTAGTTATCTTGGTTATTCAACTTAGAATGCCATATAGAGAAAATGTTTTTTTTTCCCTCCTCTCAGATGTACATTTTAAAAACGTATTCTCTGTTAATCTGTATGCCTTCATTGCTTCTTCAGTCTAATTTATCTGCTAGAGCTTCCATTATGTTAACAGCAGTGGTAAAAGAAAGTATCCTTGTTCCTTGTCTTTATTTTTTTTAAGATTTATTTATTTATTATGTATAGTGTTCTGTCTACATGTATGTCTGCAGGCCAGAAGAGGGCATCAGATCTCATTATAGATGGTTGTGAGCCACCATGTGGTTGCTGGGAATTGAACTCAGGACTTTGGGAAGAACAGTTAATGCTCTTTAACCTCTAAGCCATCTCTCCAGCCCCCTTGTCATTATTTTTATTTTAATTTTAAAATAAAATTTGCCACTATATTTTGTTAAAGGATCGTACTTGACTAATTCTACTGATCTTAATTTGTAGAGTGGTTGCTATTGATACTGTTTTTCTTTTGCAGTACAGAGAATGAACCAGCAGTGGGAGAGAAAACCCTCTAAGTTGGCTGACAGCTGGTAAAGAAGATGCTTTATTTTTGTGACAGGTGCCTGTGGGATCTGTGATAGAAATGTAAGTACAGCATCTACAGTGCCATGGCTTTCCCACACCTCAAATTGGGCGAGGAGGATGAATGCAGAGAACCACACTTGTGTTTAGTTTTAGTTATGCAAAATGAAATTTTGTATTAACTTACCAGTGCCTTATAGAGTTAGCAGCCCTAGTCACACTAATGATTATTATCAAAATTTCTAACCGTGTTCACATAGGGAAACTATGATAAGTGAAGGCTGAAAAGCTGGATCCCACTTTCACTTTGCATAGTAATTTACTTGAGAAAGATTTCCGAATTTTAGAACTAATTACTAAAAGTTTGTTTTGTGAAATTTAAGGGTTTTTCATATGATTTGAAAATTAGTACATCATTTTTTTATTCATATCAATTCACTCTACTTTGTAGTCTCATTAGTTGTGTTTTCCTGTCATTTAGGCCTTGTGTAACATGTCTTCAGGTGTTTGACAATCTTGAACATACTCATAGTAAATTTCATTATATTTTGATGAAACATTTCCAACAATCAACACCATAGTTCTAGATCATGGAAAATGAAAACCTTGTTGACTTTCAGTCTTGATCATTACAGTACTCAAATTCCTGGACCAGAAGGACTCTTGCAGATACTATTTCATAGTCTCCAAGTTTTGACACAGAAACTAGTTTGTTACCTCCTTAATCAGTATGTTAACGCTGACATTAAAAGTATGACTATATCATTCTAAGTCAGTCTTGAGAATTGGATAAGAGAAAAATGATGCCATAAGTTACTTTCTTTAAAATTGGAGCCAGTGAATCTTGTATATTTTGTATCTGCCTGTTCCCCAACTCACTGTACACACACACACACACACACACACACACACACACACACACACACGCAGGACTGTGAGTCAAATTCAGGGCCTTGGCCTTGTGCTTGCTAGGCAAACTCCTACCACTGAGACAGATTCCTCCATCCCCCTGCACTCCCTTACCCCTGTGTGTGGTAGTGGGGTGGGTTTAATTTTGTACATATTTAAATGTTGATCATCAAGGAACACACATAGCCTAGTAAATGAGCTGAGACAAATATATTACCAATTAAGTGGTAGTACAGATACTATATTGAGATAACAATAAGAAAAGCTGTTTTTGGAACTGAGAGGAAGAAGAAAGTAATGTCATGTAAAGGATGGAGAGTGAACAGAACAAGAAAGGGGTTCAGATCCTGACATCAAGGTATTTTAGATCATTAGGAACTGATAGCATATGCAAGAATAGAGTGGAAGAAAGCCATCAGAATTAGAGGATGAATGTTTATTTAGTAGTTAGTATATTAGGTGCCTGTTGAGTATTTTCCTTGAGTTGTTGAATTTAACCTTTAAATATGAGTTGCCTTACTTACTGTTGAAGAAGCAGAATTATAGAAATTAAGTCATTCCCTTAGGACAGTGTTTACCAAGTTTCTCTGAAAATAATCCATTGAGGTCACTTACTTAAAAACACAGACTATTGAGCCCAAATCCAGACCCCTAGGTTCAGATTTCTAGGAAAGTGCACACTAGCTAATTCCTATCTTTAAGCAAGTTTTAGGAAGTGTTAACATAAAAATAGTATGGCTAAGATTTTAACTGTTTCAGGGCATGTGGTAATATTTTGTTTGTGATCTATCAAAGCTTGCATGAAGATCAGAATGCAGAGCTAAGACACTAGAACCATAGAGACCAGGCAGTAGTGGCATACTTTTAATCCCAGCACTTGGGATCTCACACCTTTAATCCCAGCACTCTAGGAAGCAGAGGTAGAAGGATCTCTGTGAGTTCAAGGCCACCCTGGGCTACACAACATTGATCCAGTCTAAATAAGAAACAGAGCCAGGCAGTGGTGGCACACACCTTTGATCCCAGCACTTGGGATCTCACACCTTAATCCCAGCAAAAGGGAGGTAGAGACAGGAAGTGGTATGGCTGGGCAGAGAGAGAAATAGAAGGCAGAAGGAGACAGGAACTAGAGTTCTTTTCAGGTTGAGGAGTTGTCGAGGTAAGACGAGGTGGCTGTGGCTTGTTCTGCTTCTCTGATCTTTCAGCATTTACCCCTCTGGTTAAAAAACTCTGAGTTTTTATTATAAGACCAATTAGAATTTGTGCTACAAAAGTCTGTATCAATGATCTTCAGATTCTATGCTTAGGACCTTCTATTGGGATTATGTATACAGTAGGAAACTATTAAAGGTTGAGACGTGACCAATACACGTGACTGGGAGGAGGAGAAGCCAGGGAGAGAGAAGACTGGAGTCTCCTGGAAGCTTCTTATTAGTTAGTAGTTATTACTAACTAATACTAAATATACTAAAAATACCAATACTGAAAATACTAATAAAAGGTTAGTATTTTGTGCAAGGGTTATCGAAGGGTCTGGAATTAGGTTCACAGGTTTTGGAGTGAAGAGGCACACTAAAGGAGTTGTGGCCAGGGCTTAGGTGAGCACTAAGAATGGTGATTTATCCACAGTGGAGAGCAAAGATAAAGATCCAAGACTTAGGGAGCAGGAAAGTTTGTTTTCAGTTGTGTTTATTTCAGATGTCTAGAGTGTTGAGGTGGAATTTTGGAATACAGAATCAGAAATACAGACTTGAAGTGGGGTATTGCCAGATATGAGGTGTGAGGAGTCACATAGACTCAAACATGTGAGACACTCGGAATACCAATTAAGCATTTAATGTGTACAACAAGGAATACCTGTATTCTTGAGGAAGTACTGACATTGAAGAGGTCCTAGAGAAAAGGGAACGGAATGAAAGAGATGAATTGAGAATGTGCTAAAGTCCAAATGAAAAACAAAGGGATTGAGAAAAGAAATGGGTTCAAGTATATTAAGGCTAAAGGAGGTCATTAAATTAATTTGAGATGCTGGTCAGAGTTCTAGAGGAGTTAGAGTGTTGTTCCAATTACAAAATTTAAGGGCTAGTTTTGGAAACAGCTGACAGAAGAACCCCATCCGGAACCAGGAGGAATGGCAGTAAAGCAGAGTCAGCTGTGCTTTGCTGATGATTCTTTGGCTTGTGTAAGTGGTCAGTGATAACAGGAGTCAAAGTGTTTCATAACTGAGAGGGTTGAAGAAGTTTTATAACACCCTTTGGGGCAATGGGAAATAAAGATGTTTTGGCTACTGCGTTACTGGGAGCAAGCTTGGTGGTCTCTGGCAGTCAGAGCAGCAAGGAAGTGTGTGGAGCTGCAGTTTCTGCCCTAACTTGCTTTGGTAGACATCTCCCTCCTGCCCTCTCCTGGGGCGAGGATGTTGTCAGTTTCCTGTCTTCCTCTGAGCACTCTATAAATCTCATGCAGGCTGCTTATGATTTGTAAGTGTTGGGTAACCCAAGGTTGTTGCCTGATTTTCTTGCTCTTGCTAAAAAATTTAATTTGGTCATTTACCCATTTTCATGACTTTAAGAACCATGTATGTGTTGATGACTCATAACTGGATGATTATATATATGGACCAGTTTTGTAAAGATCCTTAACCTTTTTAAATAAGAGTTCATCACATTCTTAATAAGATTGTGACCTAAAATCTGTTTAAGAGCCATTAGCATTGAGAGTGAATGTCTGAACTCATGTGCCCCCTCCCTGCAGGTGACCACTTCTTCCTTTTTGCTCCCTGGTGTCTGTTGTGCTCAGCTCATGAAGTGTTTGCTGTACAAATGTAGGGACCATAGTTTAGATCCCTGGCACCCACATAGTCACAAGGTGGGCAGGACAGCTTGCAGTTTCAGCACTTAGAAGGCAGAGGCAGCATCCTCAGAGCAAGCTGGCTAGCCAGACTAGCCATTGTGGTGAGCTGTGGTTCTATTGAGAGATACTGCCTCAATATCAAAAAGATGGGGTGCAATTGAGAAAAACTTCAGAAGTCAACCTTGGGTCTCCATGCACACAGGACCACACGCATGGACCCACATGTGCCTCACACACATGCATATCACACACACACACCACACATACATGTGAGGGGAAAATTTCATTAGTATTAATTTCTTTGATCTAAATTCCAAGGAATAAAGGTTTTTGAGACCTTAACAAAAGGTGTACACAGTCAGTTCATTTGGGTTGGGCAAGGAAGGGATAGCTGGCGCTGGGGACGGGTTAATTAACACACATGCTTATACTTGTGAATGTTCTTGTTTCAAGTTTGAGCTCTGAAAGCATGACAAAAACAGTTGAAGCTCTTATAGTGAGAAGCACATTAAAGTGTATTTGCTTGATTTATGTGAGTGAGTTAGAAAGAAGTTATACTTTTCTGATGCCTGAAATAGAAAGTTTCTGGTCGAGGTCCTTAGTTGGTAATGTCATTAAGGGTTGAAAAATAACGAATACATTATTCTATGATGATTTCCCATAGGTACGGTGTTGCAGTCTCCTTTACAGATTAGTATCATTTTGAACATGTGTCTTTGGAGAAACTAGTGTTCTAGGAAAAGGCCGACTTCTAGCATACAAGATTGAGTGGGCTCTGAGGAAAGCCAAAGGATACTCTTCTTCAGTTTTAACGTGTAAACTACTTTTATTAGCTATCCCTTGTGTAGCCGCTGCATCTAGTTTGGAGTATCTTGGACAAAAAGCCCAAGTCCTCATGGTAGTTCAGCTTGAAGTGCTCTGTTTAGCACGGCAGAATGAACTGGTAGAGGCTGTCCCTCATTTCAGCAGCAGCTGATTAATGAGTTCTAATCTCGGGGACTGTGGGACTCGCACCTGTCCTCTCCAGTCTTTGTTTCCCTCTCTAGTCAGCTCTGTTCTCTTCCTTTTTATCTGTGGTTTCCTGTCTGGAAATTCCTGGAATAACAGTTAAGTCCTGTTTATTTAGCTTAGTAAAATAAGGCTTTTATGATTTGTTTTCTAGGTGACCTTTTAGCTCCACTCCTGTTACTCATTGCTTACTTGATTCAGGACCTTGTGTATGTCCCTGTCTGAAATCCCTACCATACAGCCCCCCACCTGCCCATCTCAAACTTCTTACGTCCATTCCTCTCCGCTTATTGCTTTAGTATCTTAACACATTTTCACCACTTCATATTGTGATTTTTCTGCTTACATATACATTTCCTTACTTAACAGACTACACATCCTATTTGTCATTAGATTACTGTAGCTTAAAGTTTTCCTGCCTGGCCCACAGTCAGGGCAAATCTCTCTCACCCGCCAGTCCCAAGCCACTCAAACCCGATCAAGTAAACACACTTATATTGGTCTCTGTGTTTACTTGATCGGGTTTGAGTGGCTTGGGACTGGCAGGTGAGAGAGATTTGCCCTGACTGTGGGCCAGGCAGGAAAACTCTAGCAACAGATTACAACACTGTTAATGGACTGGTAGGTGTTTAGTAGATGCTTTTCTTAATAAGGCAAAAGTTCCAAGTGTCCAGACTGGAGAGAGGGCTCAGCAGTTAAGAGTGCTTGCTGCCCTTGTAGAGAGACAGAGTTCAGTTCCCAGGAGTCACATCCCATCTGACAGTTCACAGCCACCTGCAACTCCAGCTCCAGTGATCAGGAGCCCTCTTTTGACCTCTGCAGGCACCCCCAAACACATGTATGCATGCACATCTACAAAAATAAAACAGCTTTTCAAAATTCCAAAGCTTTTACGTGTGTTAAGTTCACTACGTCCAAGTTGGCAAACCTTTTCTTTTCCTCCCCTCCTCATTTTCTTTCATGATTATGTGGAACTTTCATAGAACTTTAGAAACTAATTATTATTATTATTATTATTATTATTATTATTATTAGCGATTTTTACCTGAACCTTGTAGTTTTCAAGTAATGAAATTTAAGCTCCCGGTTTTCCTGGATGACTCAAACCATGTATTAATAAAGGAAACTGAGACTTGGATTATTAATACTGGTTTCACTGTGTCTTGCTTCATGTTATGCTTTCCATTGTTGGGCTTTGTTGTGCTTTCTCAGCACTGAATATAAGTATACTGACAGAACTTTTTCATACTGACAAGGTACGTACGTGTAAGTGTCTTGTATTGAAAAAGTTTTGAACTAGCTATTTGAGCTGAATTAAAATAAAATGAAACTTAAATATTTATTTTACAATATGATACATTCATGGTTTTGCTTTTAAAAGTGTGTTTTCTTTTCACAAACATTTGCAAGGTCCTATATCGAAATACATAAATCACACTGGAGGTAGTACACAGGATGGCTAGATGCCTGATTAGAGGGAATTTCCATAGGACATGAAGATGGTGTGAGACAATTTAAGGCATTTAAATGAACCAGACCATTTAAGGCACCCTTAGAGATGAAAGTGTGGCTGAATTAAAAGGCATATGCAGTGGTTTAATAATTGATGTTTGACGACTTGGAAAGGTAGGATGGGTGGTGGTACATGGATTTGGCAGACAGGAGAGATGATATTAATATGAGGCAAAAGGACAGTTTAGGAGCTAAATTTCTGACTTGTATAAACATCTAGGACCGTAACCTAATTGCTAATTAAAAGAAAGGCTGTAAATTGCTCTCGTCTGGGGTTATAAGGTTGAAGGACCTATCTGTTTTTCTGCTTCTCTTCACACTGATTCTGAAGTCAGTTTGGAGTAGATTTCATGTTTTTAAATGTTTGCATTTAGTTATGTCTTACAAATTCTGTGGCTGGGTAGAAACAGTATTTAAAATATACTATATGTGCCTTGCTCTATTTTTGCTTTTTTTCTTAATAACTATACTTTTTATTGGTTGCTGCTAGTAAAAACTGATGAGTGACAGCTACAAATGAAAAGGGATTGTAACATATATTGAGTTTTTCCTGTTTTCTTTCTCTTTGTCTCCCATCTTATGTTTGAGATAGGGCATTATGGAGCCATGCTGGCTTTGAATTTGCTGGTCTCTCTTCATTTTTATATCTTCCTTGTATAGCATGTGGTTTATATAGAATAGATGCTTATTGGGTAGTTTCTGAACTAGTGGCTTAAAATCTTAGAGAACTGCCGGGCGGTGGTGGCGCACGCCTTTAATCCCAGCACTCGGGAGGCAGAGGCAGGCGGATCTCTGTGAGTTCGAGGCCAGCCTGGTCTCCAAAGCGAGTACCAGGAAAGGCGCAAAGCTACACAGAGAAACCCTGTCTCGAAAAACCAAAAAAAAAAAAAATCTTAGAGAAGTTTAAACCTGATTTCCCTTTTTTCTTCTCATTTCCTAGGATGGCTGGCTGTGGTGAAATTGATCACTCGATAAATATGCTTCCTACAAATAAGAAGGCGAGCGAGTCCTGTTCCAGCGCTGCACCTTCTCTAACAGTTCCCGAGTGTGCCATCTGCCTGCAAACGTGTGTTCATCCCGTCAGTCTGCCCTGTAAGCATGTTTTCTGTTATCTGTGTGTGAAGGGCGCTTCATGGCTTGGGAAGCGATGTGCTCTTTGTCGACAAGAGATTCCTGAGGATTTTCTGGACAAGCCAACCTTGTTGTCACCAGAAGAACTTAAGGCTGCAAGTAGAGGAAATGGTGAATATGCGTGGTATTATGAAGGAAGAAACGGGTGGTGGCAGTATGATGAGCGCACTAGTCGGGAGCTGGAAGATGCTTTTTCCAAAGGTAAAAAGAACACGGAAATGTTAATTGCTGGGTTTCTGTATGTTGCCGATCTTGAAAACATGGTTCAGTATAGGAGAAATGAACATGGACGTCGCAGGAAGATTAAGCGAGATATAATAGATATACCAAAGAAGGGAGTAGCTGGACTTAGGCTGGACTGTGACACTAATACTGTGAGTCTAGCAAGAGAAAGCTCTGCTGATGGTGCGGACAGTGTATCAGCACAGACTGGAGCTTCTGTTCAGCTTCCAGTGCCGTCTTCCTCAAGACCGCTAACATCAGTTGATGGTCAGTTAACCAGCCCCGTAACACCATCCCCGGATGCAGGCACTTCTCTGGAAGACTCTTTTGCTCATTTACAACTCAGTGGAGACAGCATAGCTGAACGGAGTCACAGAGGTGAAGGAGAAGAAGATCGTGAATCACCATCTTCTAGCAGAGTACCAGACACTTCTGTTGAAGAAACTGAATCGGATGCCAGTAGCGATAGTGAGGATGCCCCTGTGGTGGTTGCACCGCACTCCTTGAACCAGCAGAGACTTTTGGTTTCAAATGCAAACCAGACAGTAGCTGAACGATCAGACCGATCGGGCACTGACCGATCAGTAGCAGGGGGTGGAACCATGAGTGTCAATGTCAGATCGAGAAGGCCTGATGGACAGTGCACAGTGACAGAGGTTTAAACAGCCGTCTCCAGTGCCACACTCAAGGGTGAAATGGATACCTGTAAATTTCTGCCCACATAACATTATACTCATCCTTAGTAGTGCATTGTGGGAGTTGGGGTGGGAAGGGATATGGGAAGGACAGACCTGAAATTAAAATGTCTTAACATGTCTCTGTTGAAATTTATTTAATGTGAGGAATTGGGGTGTTGATATTTGAGAGCTGTTCAGTAATAACACAGTTTTCTTGACATCTGTTTACTTTATAGTGTATTTTTTTGTCTTTAGTTCTTTTGGCCAGTGTGTACCTGTGCATTAATGGCCCTCATCTGACCCTTGCACTACCTTCTTTTTCTGCATGGATTGGTATAAAATCATTACTAAAACTTGGCACCTGTGAGATATTGGATGTCATTATGAGCAGGAAGCTTAACGTGGAAAATAGATGTGGATTTGGGATTTAAAAATAGATGACTAACGACTACTTTATAGTTGGTCTTACTGAGATAGAAATGTAAAGCAGCAGCTAATAAGTTGTTTCCGGATCTGTAACACACTTCATGCCGTTCCTTTCCATAGGATTTGCTGTCTTGTCCTTGTACTTTGAGGTTTCTCTTAGTCTGCATTTTTCTTTTTGATTAAAAAAAATTTATAATTTAATAAATACTAGAGTTTATCAAAAATAATGTTTCTTGTTTGAGTCTGAAAAAGGGATGGGGGTACTTTGGTATTTGTGGCTAAAGAGCTTTTTAAAAGGTGGGGTTTGACTTGATTGTATTCGCTCAATTTGTCCCTACTCAGAAGTCTGATTTCTTCATAGGAGAATGTGTACAGAGAAGCTATCTATGGCATTGTGTTTGGAATAAAAAGATGTGGAAAAAGACCCAAAGGCCGTGAGATTTAAATTTCTCAAGCAGCTGATACTATTAATTTTATATTTCCTTTACCAGTCTCTATCAGTGATATTACTGTCTGGGATCCACAGAAAACTTAGAAGCATGATTTTATAGATCAAATAAGCTCACTTTCTATGGCTTGGCAAGGTAGGAAGTATTGGTGAACACAAAACTGAGAATTTGTCTCTGGAAAAATCATGTCTGTCTGTGTTTCCTTTACAAAGTGGGATCCTGTGGGTACATACTTCTGAATTCTCTTTATTAGGATTATCAAGTTAACTGAGTGCTAAAACAAACAATAAAAAAGCCACTACTTTAAATATCTTTTACCTCTTGTTGAGACAGGTCAGAAGAACTTAATTCTTAGACATACATTCTAAAGAAGTGAATTCTGAGATGAACATAATGTTTCAATTACATGTTTTTATTAAATTTAGTATTAAAAGACAGCTACACAAGAATTAAAGTTAAGTATTATTCAAAAATCTGGTAAAAATGAAAATTACTGTTTAAGGATGCTTCCTGATTCTTTAATAATTTCAATTGTAAAACCCCATCAATAGTACTATTTTACCACTGGCTTGAGAATTCCAGGGAACAATGCAAAGCTACTTTGTACAGCCAGTCAGTGCTCTGTGTAGTAGCTTTTACTGTTTAGTGGGTCATTTGAAATAGGGTTAAAAAGACCAACTGAAGCTCCAAATTCAGCAAAAATGCACCTTTTTCTTTATTGAAGGACCATTTCCATCAGTATTTTAAGTGTACAGAGCAGAACAAGTGACTAATATTTCTTGTATGCCTCTAATCCTCTCTGCTTTCTGCTTCATATGACATATTTATTGAGATCTTTTTATTTTGTTTTTAATTTTATTTTTGTAAATTACATCAACTTAAGAAAGAACAAAATGGTCAGACACAATAGTATATACCAGCATTTGGGAGGTGGTGGCAGGGGAATTAGAAATTCAAAACTACTCTTGGCTACATAAATAAGTTTAAGACCCAGCCTTAAAATTTAAATTATAAGTATGTTACAAAAGGTAAGCCCAGGGATAGGTTTCCTGTTTGAAAATTGACCTTTGGTTCTAGGAGAATTACTATAGGAATGTAGAAATTGGTAGAAGTGACTAAGCAAATGTTAAAAAAGAAAGAATATCACCCAAGCCAAATAAGCACGTTAACTTCTAATGAGTTCTGCCGCTCATTTTTCCTGTCATCACTGCCCTCCATCTCAGGCGCATCAACCTGCAGTACACCCACATTTTAAAACTACTTAGTATGCTTCCCTCTCTTAGCAATAGCCTCGAGGTTTGCAGGCCCGCCCCACAGTGTGCCTAAAACATCTCTTTCATTCTGTAATGCTTCTTCTAAGTACAGCTCTCTGCCTGAACAAACAGATGTCTTTAAACCTCTAATGACTTCTGGAGGCCCACTGACAAACTGCTCCAGCCACTCCTGGGCCTCTTCTAGAGCCTTAGATTCATCAGAAGACTGTAAGACCTCATCAGCCAAGCCTATATTTAAAGCTTTCTTGGAATCCAGTTTGAAGGTCCCACTTAACACTTTAAGAGCTTGTCTGCTGCCGATGATTTCAACCAGCCGGCTGGCACCACCCCAGCTTGGCACTATCCCCATCTCCTTGTGGACAAATCTGATCACGCTCTCCACAGTCATTAACCTGTGGAGACAAAGAGGAAACATTGTAACTACATGTATATACTCTAACCACAAAGTAGTAAGTGCTCCTCCTCCAACAGAAAATTGATCTTTTTAGGCAAATATAAAAACAATGTTGGAAAATGTCACCACGTAGTATTCAACACACATTTGCTTTTAAAAACATTCTGTTTCAGCGTTTCCAAACTTTGAAAATAAGAACTCAGGCTTCACATTTGAGGAACTTTATGTTAACAGATCCGGAGAGTAACTGAGATAAATACTCTCATCTTCTGGTTGAATAAGCATGCAATGAAAGCACCACGACTTGACCCCAGATAGTTGGCCTCAGTGTCTCAAGGCTGGAATCACAGCTAGACCAGAGCAGAAGCAGCAGTAAGGCAGGTGGCCGTGGCTTGGGTTGGACTAAGAGCAGTTAAACTCCTGTACGAGGAGTTATAAGCCCCAACTAGTGTTTTCATGATCAGGGTAATTCATAAAGATAATAAATTAATGAGTGTCGAAAAAAGCTTCACATCTGCTAGTTACTTGTATACTCTCAGCATACTATAAAGTTCTGCAGTGTTTAGGAAGTGTTGCCTGTGGACAGTTTTTGTTGGCATGCATCAACAGAAGACTTATGCTAAAACCTAATTTGACCTAAATAAATGTCAAAGTGCAATTTACTGTTTTTCTTAGGAATAATCGTTTTTCAAAACTATTTACTATAAGAAAGAAAAGCTGAAGTGTTGCCTTCCCACACACTGTACATTCAACTGTGGAGGACTTCGTTCTTTTAGCACCAAGGCTCTGACTGCAGCCTGACCTTTCGTCATCAAACACTGCAGTGAGAATTTCCGCAAGGCTCTGACTGCAGCCTGACCTTTTGTCATCAAACACTGCAGTGAGGATTTCCTCAGAAGCTACTAATCCACTGGAAAACTTTCTCCTCAGAGATGAGTTTCCACCAAGAATATGTCACAATGATGAACAATTACTTCAGCAGTCAAATACTATGGAAATGGCTTCAACCAATGGCTTTTAAATGGGTACGAGGCAGAGCAAGTCCAACTGACAAAAAGAATCTTAATCTAACCCCACAATAGGAATCTGCCAAAATTTGGGAAGAAATTGAATTTGCAAAATATAGTATCTAGTAGTTGTGGAAATAGAAATGATGGTTACTCTTGAGCCCAGTCTAGAACAACCTAGTATGCCAGTCTTTCAACCAAATTCTGGAATTGGCATGTGCTGGTTTAGCTATTAGCACAGCTGAGAGAATGATGACGTCTGGAATAAATTCATCTAGAACTGAATAAAAACAGTGAGACACTGGGTGTCGGTATAACGCAGATGACATTACGTGAGTGGTTACAGTGGCCATCCATGTGTTGTTATAACCTAGGCAACCACCCTTATGTGCTATCTCCTCTTTATTTTCAAGGTCAATTATGTATGTTTGTTTAAAAAGTTTTATCACATTCATTTTTCATGGACATGTGTGGGCACATATTCCATGGCATATGTATGGAGGTCAGCTGGTTCTCTCTTTTTCACCACGTGAGTCTTGGGGATGGGACTTGGCTGGGTTGCCAGATTTGGTGGGAAGTGCCTTTACCCACCCAGCCATCTTACTGTCCCAAGTATGCCCTCTTGAATCCTATTTTACAACTAACAAATCCTCAAGTAATCTTTGTAAGAGCATGCATTATAATCTGACATACACTCTTTATAAATTACATAGCTAGTAGTATGCTTGTATTGACATACCTTTTAGTATGCATTAAACATAATTTTAAAAATTCACTGGTGACAAGAAAACAGGGCATCTCAACAGGGAGAGACATACCTAGCTCTCAGCAGGAAACCTTTCACAAGATCTGTCATTAGCCTCACAGAGTTAAAATATAAAATTTCCAGTGTTGGAAAATATAATTCAAGAGGAAACGATCCAATCAATAAGATATATCTCAAAATGGGAACATACAAAATGGGATTATACAATAATTGTAGAGTTCATATGAGTTATCCAGTATCACCTGGAATGCTAGGGAGAATCTATGAACCTATATAGAAGACTTATCCCTTATAATTATAAAGTCATAATGTTCAATTTATGAAACTATTAAACTCCCTCACTTTGATATAGGAGTTCTAAGTGCATCTGACATAATGGTGAGGAAGAGATGAAATTCATCAGATGTTGGTATGTTTCTTACTATTTGGATGGAACAATCACAGGAAAAACTACCCACAACTGGGCGAAGACTATTTGTGTGTGTATATGCACACACACCACAGCACACATGCACAGGTCTCTAGTTTGTGGGTGGTGGTTCTCCCTTTCTGCCATGTGGGACGCGGGGACTGAATTCAGGCCCTTTTACCTGCTGAGCTGTCTCTGTGGCCCGACTGTTACTAATGAACAGGGATGCCAGATCAAATGCTGACTGCAGGAAAGGGTACTCTGCCCTGCTACTGCTTTCTGATGAGGGAACCCTAAGTTTCAGGGTTAGCAAACATGGCCAAGAACATTGTTAAGTCAACTTAAAACTTTACTAAACAGGAAGTTTTTTATAAAATGTATACAGGAGAAAGCTGGAGTTTAGAAGTGCTCAATGATGAAGAAAGGTACTTATAGTGACATGAAATAAAAAAGAATATGTATTGAACCGGAAGACTGCAGAGCTTTCCTGTGCAGTACATAGGGCCACAGCCAGACTATGTGGCTGGAAATCCTAACATAGCCTCTCTGGCTGCACACTGCATCCCATACAGTGTAGCCAACGAACAGGACACACAGACAGGGTAAAAGAATATCATATTTAGACCCTAAGAAGTTACTTAGCCAAGGCCCTGAGTTTGCTTGTCTATAAAACAGTAGCTATTCAATAGTACTCATGCCAAAGAACCAAATGTGTTCTTATATGACAAATGCATAGAACATGTACTTTATAAATAATATTAGAGGAACTATATGCTTTATTTAAAAACCTCTGATACTGTATTACATTGTATTTTTATTTAGAAATATTAAAGTTGTATGTTTTGTAGTCTCACACATAAGCAGCTTTGTGTATTAGCTTTTACTATGATTTAGTAGAGTCGCTAAGCAGGTCAGTACTATGTCTGCTAGAATTCTAAATTGTTTCCTTGTCTAATATTACATAATCCTTAATGCATTCAAAATTAAAGCAACCATATTTACACAGTGAAACCCAGTAAATCAGTAATTCTCAACCCTGTGGGTCGGGACCCCTTTGGAGGTCAAGCAGCCCTTCCACAGGGGTCACCTAAAACCACCAGAAAACACAGATAGTTACAGTTTGATTCATAACTAGCAAACTGACAGTTATGGAGTAACAACAAAATAATCTTATGGTTGAGGGTGTATTAAAGGGCTACAGCATTAGAAAGGTTAGGAACCACAGCAGTAAATGGTAGTGTGCTGTCTGTCCTTCAGTGGTGGTCACATGAATGGAGACAAGAAGACAGATGCATGTTTTTGTCTTTCCAAATAATGAAAAATAATACTTTGTTCTACTGCACACGGGGCTGAAGTAGAAGATTGAAACTGATTCTGAAAGAACAAGAACAGACATGTATGTCTTTAAGGTTTATAAATTATAAATTATAAAACTAGGCAATACAGGTTAACAACAAATATTTAAAAATTTTAAAGCAGTGGTATTATAAAGGTTAAGTGAAACAGGACAGACAATGCATGACTAGTATTTTTTCTTGAAGGAAAATTTGTTAAGAACTAATGCTAACTTGCTACTATTCATTTAACTTTTGATGCAATCTCACTACATTCTGGAATGTATTCTTATGAGATAGTATTAAAAATACTAAAAAGGAAGCCGGGCGGTGGTGGCGCACGCCTTTAATCCCAGCACTCGGGAGGCAGAGCCAGGCGGATCTCTGTGAGTTCGAGGCCAGCATGGGCTACCAAGTGAGTTCCAGGACAGGCGCAAAGCTACACAGAGAAAACCTGTCTCGAAAAACCAAAAAAAAAAAAAAAAAAAAAAATACTAAAAAGTATAGAGTTATTCATTATTACAGTCTGCATATTCAAAACATAAAATGTGAAGGCTGGGAGACAACTTAGTATATAAAGTGCTTGTTGAACACACATGAGGACCTCAGTTTGGATCCCCAAAGTCCACATAAAAAGCTGGGCATAGCAGCATCTGTCTACAGCCCCAAGGCTGGAGGACAAAGACAGGGTGATCCCAGGGCCTTGCTGGCCAGCCACAGTGGTAGAAGAGGCCCTATCTTTAAAACTCAGATGGAGAGGATTAAAGGAAGATTCAACACCGCCCTCTGTCCCTCACATGTGTGCACGTGGACAAGCATGCACACACAGACACCCCTCTCAAAACAAAACATAAAATTCAGTAAGGATGGTAAGAAAAAATTCATGTAAACACTATGTATTTATGCTTTCCAAGTAAAATCACACCAAAGAGAGAAAAAAAAGGAACTATTCTAAGTAACTTTTGAACATTTTGACTATTTTACCTTTAGTCCAGAAGGGAAATAAACACACAAACACACACAATGCAGAAAGACCAATCAAAGTAGCAATGTTTAAAAAAAAAAAAAGTGGATTTTTATGAATGGTATGGGAAATTCCTTGTATCATTCTTACCACCTTTCCAGAAGTTTATATATAATTAAAATGCTTACATGTTTTTGATTGTCAAAAGTAGATGCCTTAGGTGGCTAAAGTTTGTGTGTGTGTGTGTGTGTGTGTGTGTGTGTGTGTGTGTGTGTGCGAGCAGATATGTGTGCACATGTTGAGTATGCCAGAGATCAACTTCAAGTGTCATTTCTAAGGAACCATCTTGAGACAACAATTTGTCACGAGAACCTGGACCTCACTCATTAGGCTAGACTGGCTGGCCAGTGAGCCCTAGGGGCAGGCAGAGATCACAACCCCAGCAATGATACAAATATGCGCTACTAGGCCTGACTGTTTATGTAGATGCAGGAGATTGAACTTGGGTCCTAATGCTC